ATGATCACTTCTTATGGAGGCAATTGTTAGAGATTTCTCATTTTGAATTTGTTTAGCATACTTCTTGAAAGCCTTGAATGCATCAATTTTATGCACTAAAAAGAATGTCCAAGTATATCTAGAGAAATCATCAACAATAAATAAAGCATATACATTACCTTTGAAACTTCTTGTTCTTGATGGACCAAATAAGTCCATATGCAACAACTGTAGTGGCCTTGTAGTAGACACCATATTCTTAGATTTGAAAGTTGATTTTGTTTGTTTCCCTTTTTGACAAGCATCAAAAAGTCTATCTTTGACAAAATTTATCTTAGGCAACCCAATGACAAGATCATGCTTGATTAATTTATTCAAGTGTTCCATATGAATATGAGCAATTCTTTTGTGCCAAAACCATGAATGATCGTTGTTTTCCATGAGACATTTTACCTTCAAAGATGGATAATCAAGGGAAATCATAAATATATTATTAATTCTTTTACCTTTAAGTATAACCTCATGTGTGATTTTGTCTTCTATCAAGCATTCATCTTTGGTGAACTTGATCTTGAAACCTTTGTCACAAAGTTGGCTAATACTTAGAAGATTGTGCTTTAGTCCTTCAACATAAAGAACATCTTCAATGGATGTGAAAGGCATAACACCAACTTTGCCTTTGCCAACAATACTTCCCTTATTATTGTCTCCATAAGTGACAAAACCCTTGACCTTTAGCACTAGATTTGAAAATTGGTTTATGTCTCCCGTCATATGCTTTGAACAACCACTATCAAGATACCAAATATTGCATGTGGTCTTCAAGCATACCTACAAAACATATTAGGTTTTTTTAGGTACCCAAGTTGCTTTGGGTCCTTCATAATTAGTACCTTTCTTTACCCACACATAATGCCCACTTGTCACACTAAAGTTTCTAACATAGCAAGCATTAGGTGTGTGGCCTTTAATACCACAATAAAAACAAGTAGGTTCAAATTTACTTTAATATCTAGAAGGGTAAAATTTATTCTTAGGAAATTTTTTTATTTTTAGGATAATGATGAACCACTTCAGGTTTGTTCACTTTCTCTTTGGAAGATTTATCACTAGCCTTAACAAAGATAGTTTTATTAGAACTTGGTTTTGAAAACTTTGAATATCCAAGTCCACTTTTGTCATTGGAATATCTTTGTTGGATAAGAACACCTTCTAATTCAATTTGACCTTTTCCATATCTTTCAATAACTCTTTTTAATTGAACAATTTGAAAAGAGAGTGATTCACAATTTTTGCATACAAAATTATGTTCTTATTTATCACTTAATTTTTGTTTTTCATCTTTGAAATCTTTTTCCATAGTTTCACATTTTTCTTCTAAAGATGAAATTGTTTCTTTTGAGGTGAAATAGTTTTATACATAAATTTGCATTTATTTAATAGTTCATTTATAGCACCTTGTACATCACTATCAAATAGAGAAAATCCATTATTAACCTCATCATCTTCATTATCAGAATGGTGTGAGGCCAACAATGCTAGATTTGCACTTTCATCACTATCGGAATAAGACGAAGAAATTATTTCATGATCCTCTCATACAATATAGGCCTTTTTGTTCTTAAATTCCTTTTTGCCTTTGTAGCCACCTTTCTTGGAGAGTTTTGGACAATCCGACTTGATATGACATTGCTTACCGCATTTATAACACGTGACTTATCATGTTGATGTGGAAGCTTCCCTTTTCTTAAATTGTTTCTTTCTTTTTGCATGAGAAAGGGATTTGTCATTTATACCAAAGAACCTACCAAGCCTTTTGACAAGAAGCGTGAAATTTTCATCTTCTTCCGGATTGTCTTCCTTTTCAACATCCTTGGAACCAATCTTTAAGGTAATATTCTTGGATTTATTCTCTTGATTTTCATACTTTTTAAGTCTTCCGAGTTCGGTTTCATATTCTTGAAGTTTTCCAAACAACGTTGTAGAAGTCATTGAAGAAAGACTTTTCTTTTCCGAAATTGCCGTTACCTTTGGTTTCCATTCCCTAGTTAAGTATCTAAGTACTTTCAGATTTAGTTCATCATTCATCAAAGTCTTACCAAAAGCACTTATATGATTTGTTAAGTGCACAAATCTCTTTTGCAAGTCAGGGATGGTTTCTCCGGGCTACATTCGAAATAACTCGTATTTTTGAATCAAAGTATTTAGTTTTGATCTTTTAACTTCAACAGTTTCTTCATGAGTTTATACCAAGGTATTCCATATTTCTTTCGCCGTTTTGCATGCCGAGACACGAAAGAATTCATCCATGCTAAGTGCATCTTGAAGAAGATTGATTTCCTTTTTATCATAGAGGACCTTTTTCTTATCATCTTCATCCCATGCAGTTTTAGGTTTTGATGAGCCAGCACCATTGATCACAGTTATAGGAATAAATGGACAATTCTCGACGGCATCCCATACTTCGTCTCCTTGTGCTCTAGATGTGCCTTCATGCGTATTTTCCATAAGTCAAAATATTCACCACAAAATAGAGGAGGCTTGTTGTTACTACCACCATCCCTGGAAACGGGATTTTGATTTGCGGAAGCCATTATGGATCTTTTAGGAACAGGTTACCTATAACCTGCTCTGATGCCAATTGTAAGTACGAAGTGCGCCTAAGAGGGGGGTGAATTAGGTACTTTAAAATGTTTCTGGTTTTAGTGATGATGGATATTATTTTTCTGGTTTATGGTGAGTTTATGAAAGAGTAAAGTGCAGAATAATAAAGAGACACATGCAATATATCTTGGTTCCCCTCACAGTTCGAGAGTACTTCAGCCCCCTTTCAACATGAAAGAGATTTTCTTATAGTTGGCAAACTTAAACAAGAACTACCAAAACCAAAAACAATCCTCTTGGACCAAGAACAATCCTCTTGGATTTTCACTATGTCAACAATGAGAACAATCCTCTCAAGGTGACCTTACTTGTATCCAACAATCCTGGAAAGAACAAGATTACAAAACCACTTGAACTTATTTTCAACAATCCTGAAAAATAAGAAAGTGTATAACGATATTTTGATTGGGTGAGTTTGTAGAGCAATAATCACTTTGAGTGATTTTATCAATGACTTGATCTTTTCTTCCAATAACAATAATATACAATGACTCAAGACTATATAATGCTCAAAATTTTCTGTTTAACAATATATGAAAATGTGCAGAAAAACTTTGTGTATGAAAGTGAAGAAAAAGCTTGAGTTTTAATATTTTAAAATTCAGAAACTATTGATTGGAAGAAGTACAAAATAATTTTGAAAATTCAGTATTTATATGTTCATAGCACCTCTTTGAAATAACATAAATTTCTGCAAACGAATCATGAATAATTGCCAAGATTCAATGAAAAGTTTCCATGAAATGGTGTTATAAAAAAGTATGTTCAAAGCTGCTGATTTTCAAAAACGTTCAACATGCAATCGATTGCACCCTTATGTAAATCGATTGCACGGGTTTTAACAGCTAAAAAATTCAAATATTTTCAGTGAGCAATCGATTGCACGTGTGTGTAAATCGATTGCACTTTAAAATAGTAGCAAAATTTGATAGAGAGCAATCGATTTCATAAACATGCAAATCGATTGCACATAGAAAGATTAGCTAACACTTTGAAAACATGAAGCATGTAACCGATTGCACCAACATGCAAATCGATTGCACATAAGTGAAAATTGATTTTTTGCTTAGAAAACTTGAGAAAAAGTTTGGACAAGATAAAACACTTCTTTTGATCATTGAGCATTTAAGACTTAAGTTCAGAGTAAGTATTGTCATTATACTTTGTGAATTTTGCTAAGAACTTGAGACAAAATCTTTTATCCAATGATGCTTTTAGCTTGATCAAAATCTTTGTCTTCTTGCCAATATAGTTTGTCTTCATCAAAACAAAGTGCATTGAGAATCATTTGAGAAGCTTGATATTACAGGGGGTACCTGCAAGACACTCCGATGACAAAGTAAGTTGCGGAATGAGCAAGCAAGGGCAAAAGTTAGAAACTGTTGAATATCTGACCCTCTCAAAAGAGAGGGTATTTATAGCCCCTATCGCTGGGCCAATGTCTCTTTATTGAGCTGACCAAGTAGGCCCAACATAGAGACTGTCAGGTTCTACGTGAGTAGTGGGGACCCGCGAGTGGCCCTCTACCTGGATGACGTCTTCCGTAAGGTCAAGAGGAAATAAGTGCGGTCTTTTCGGGATCACGAAGACTCCGCAATATCCGGAGACGTTGGTAGTCAGTCCTACGAGGAAGATGCTTGGAAGGAGTGCATGCTCGTCGTGGGATATCCCCGCTAGATATAAGTTCGATAGAGGACCAGTCTTAGCCGACGAGCTAGTTGAGGTGTCTTCGCTGCCAACATGGTCGGGGCGTGAGTGTCCTCAGTCTATTCGGGCGTTGTCCCCGCGTGGTGAGGATGTCTCCTCGCGAGAAAAGGTAGGTAGTTACCGACGATACTCGAGAGTAGTACCAGTCATTGGTGCAGGTTGGCACGTTTAGATTGGACTTCGTTGGAAATTGGACCAAGAACAGATCGAGTTCAAAAAGTAATGTATAAAATTATTAATATATTTGTAAAGTTTAATTTCAATTGAGCCTGATGAAATAGCATGTTAAAGAAAGTTGAATATTTTTTCATGAAAGGGATTGCGAGAGTTTTTCTCTAGCATCACGTGATTTTGTATTAAATCAAAATGATTACATTTAAAAAAACTTAATGATAATGATATTAATTATCGGAGGGAAATTTACATTACTAATTACGAATTATTACAGTTACCAAAACAGCATAATCAATCTTACAAAAAAAAAAACAAAAAAACAGCATCATCAAAAAACGTAGCGCGTAAAACACAAACCCATTTCGCGCCATTCTCACAATCTAAAAGGCGCGCTTTTTATCACGTCACTTTCTTCCTTTTCTTCACTTTCATTTCTTTTCAAAATTTTCTAGTTTTTACGATTAAGTTATTTTTCGATGACGGAACGTTCTCAAAAAGAAAAGAAAGTTTTCCGCACAATGGAAAACGACAGTGTCGTTTTTCGAAACGGAAATCCAGTTCTCGTCGCTCAGCCACTCACCGTTGTTCGTGCGCTAACCAGCAACGGCGGCGCTCGCGTTCTTGCAACGCCTCCTAATCCGAACCCTAACTCCGACGAGTTCAAACCTTTCAAAGCCCCGTTGATTAAAGAAGATGTCAAACTACATATTCGAACTGAGGAAGAAGCTGTGAATGTCAATGTGGCTTGTGAGACACATGAATCGGCTACCGTTGATCCAATTAATGAAACAACGCGGATTCAACCAAATGAAGAAGCTTCCAATGAGAAGGTAATAGATAGTGATGAATCGGAGGTGCTGAAGGTAGTGAAAGGGAACCGAGCTGTTAATGATGGAGTGAGGGTTTTGAATGTGGTGAAGAAAGCGGCAGTGGAAGAGAAGATTCCGAATCTTGAGGATGGTGAGTTTCCTGTTGAACCTGGGTGGTCATTGCTTGGAAGGAAGATTGAGGTTGCTACTTCCACAGCTAAAGGATTGAGGAGATTAGTGGATAATGAGATTGTTTATTTCAATTTCCCTGCCCCAAATACCTCTTACAAGTTCCAATGGATTGTTCGTGTCTCAACCAAACGTTCTGGAGTGGTAATAATAATTTCAATTGATTGCAATGCTTACTGTAAAATATTTTATTGAGTTTGCTTACCATGAAAATTGTTTTGTTATTGAAATTCAATGTTGCTTTATTTGATGCTTTTGTGGGAAGGAATAGAAGTTCATATGTTTTGGTTATGTTGTTGTATTTAACATTTTAGGTTGGGAGGCTGCCAATGGAATGGGCAAAATCTGTCACGCCTCTTGTGCAAACTGGAAATGTTAGGGTTCGAGGCCGATGCATTGCCACACCACATAAATTGGAAATGATGCAAGAAATAATGCTGTTAGTGAGGTATGTATAACTTCTTGGTACCTTCTGTTAGTTTAGTTTAAATAAGGTTGATGAAAGCTTTCCATTTTGTTTAGTTTTGAGCTTGTTAACTTGGCTATTTCATTTGAATATGATGCTGAGTTTATTGGTGGATGAAACTAATTGATTGTTCAATTGACAGTTTTTATGTTCATCAATCTGTATTCTCGGAGTCTGTTGATACCTCTTGGAGGCTAGAGGCTTGTGGCCACATTAACTCTGCTGCTTACCCGCTCCTTACACTGTTAAAAATGCTAGAGATTGAGCCATATAGGAAGGTAATGAATCACTATATTTTTTAATTGCTTTGTTTTTTTGTTTTTTTAATGTTGTATTTGTAATGTTTTGTTTTTATTTTTAACTAGGCTGATTTCACCCCTGAGGAAATGAAGGCAAGGAAACGGGTTCTTAGAGTATGTTCAACTATTTTCATTCTTTTACCCTCTTTTATAAGCTTTTAGCTTTCATGGCATTATTGTTTAAATTGAATTGAATGTTGTTGTTGTTGTTGTTATGCATTCTAGAGGCCTAATTTTTCTGTTCATATTACCAGCTTGATTCAGATGACGCTTCTGTTTTGCCTGTTAATAAGCGAAGGAAAGGTGTCTCTGAGCCACTTCCAGAGCCAAATGAGAATGAACAAGCTCTTTCAGAGTCAGCTTTGAATAAACTTATTGGAGCTGCTGAAGTATTTGACCTAGAGGTATATCAATTGTGTTCCAACTTCAATTGATAGTCTTCAATCTCTCTTGTGTGACCAACCTGTTTATGTCTTATGTAACTTTAGGAGAAGGAAGCACCAAAAACTCTGATGTGTAGTCTAAAGCCTTACCAGAGTCAAGCTCTGTATTGGATGACAGAAATTGAGAAGGGAGCTGAAGATGAAAATGCTGATAGAAATCTACATCCTTGCTGGTCAGCCTACAATATTTGCAATGGGTAAGTACTAATAGTACATGGTTCCTCAAGCAAAATGTAACTTTTACATCAATATTAGCATACAATTTAACCTGACATACTTTTTATCAGAAGGACAATTTATGTGAACATATTTACTGGGGAGGCGGCAAAGAAATTTCCACAAGCAACACAGAGAGCAAGAGGAGGAGTGAGTTTGTTTCAAGCCATCAATTTGAAACTCTTTATACTACGTACACTTTGAACCGTTTGCCTTACTGCAATTTTGTATTTGATTAATTGTAGATTCTGGCGGATGCAATGGGACTTGGGAAGACTGTCATGACAATTGCTTTGATTCTAAGTAATCCAGGCAGGGTGAAATCAGAAGACACTGATGCAGAGAACCCATATGACAACATTTTCTCAACTAAGAGGAGGAATATTAACCCATTGCATAATGTAGAGGGTGGCACTCTGATTGTTTGTCCAATGGCATTATTGGGTCAATGGAAGGTGAGATTCCTCCCTAATTAAGCCAATTAAAAAGCAGGGTTTTTCTTTTATATATCTCTATTTATGTGAAAGGAAATTTACAAGGATTTATAATATTCAGGACGAGCTTGAAACACATTCGAAATCAGGCAGCATATCCATATTTGTTCATTATGGCGGGGGTAGAACTGATAATGTCAATTTGTTGTTAGAGTATGACGTTGTCTTGACAACTTATGGTGTCCTATCAGCTTCATATAAAAATGTAAGGAAATGTTTATTTGTATTTTATTTCACCAATTTGCGTAGCCAATATTCCTTATTTTGGATTACCTCATTTTTTGAAACCAGGATGGAGAGAATAGCATCTACCACAGGGTCCAATGGTTCAGAGTGGTGCTAGACGAAGCTCATCATATTAAAGCCCATAAAAGTCAAGTTGCCCAGGCTACTATTGCCCTGTCCTCACACTGCCGCTGGTGTCTAACTGGAACGCCGCTTCAGGTTAGTTATTGAGAAACATTGTGTAATTTATATAATTGCTAGTAGAAAAGTATTCCTCCCATACAATCTGAAAATGTATCTTTTATCAGCATTTCAGTACTAATTAGTTTATTACTATAATGAGCTTATAGTTATTAAGCAAAAGATTTCGTAGTCTACAACTCTCTTTCTGAAATTGTGACGCTCTCTATTCCAGAATAGTTTGGAAGATTTATTCAGTCTCTTGTCTTTCTTGCGCGTTGAACCATGGTGCAGCTGGCAATGGTATGTAAAATATTGGGCTAACTTGTAGCTATTGTAAATTTGATCAGTGTTTTGGAAAAAATATTTGAAGACCTGTACTTCATAGTTCGTTGTTTCTTTTTTTAATTTGCTTTGTAATATAGGTGGACTAAGTTGATTCAAAAGCCCTATGAGCAGGGTGATCAAAGAGCCCTGAAATTGGTCAAGGGAATTTTGAGGACATTGATGTTAAGAAGAACCAAGGAAACAAAGGATAAAGAAGGAAGGTAGTCATTCTCACTTCACGTGAATTGTCTCTTTTAATATGCATGAATAACTTTATTTATAATGAAATATATCAGTTGTGCTATGTTTTTTCAGGCCTATACTTGTCCTGCCACCAACTGATATTCAATTGATTGAGTGTGAACAGTCAGAATCTGAACGGGACTTCTATGATGCTCTCTTCCTGAGATCTAAAGTAAGTTGTCCATAGCTTGCTATATCTGTAAATATTTGGGCAGCAACTTGGTTCACACTTGTCATCTTTTCAAAAAAGTGGTAATTTTGGAAACTGTAATTGCCATCTAATGTTGCTTTTACTAGAAACTTGTTCTCCTCTAAATTACTGGGTTTCAGGAGTTAAGTATTTGTGTTTGAGATGTAAACTGTTTCATTCAATTCAAACAGGTCCAATTTGAGCAATATGTTGCACAAGGAAAGATTCTTAACCACTATGCAAATATCCTTGACCTACTAATGCAGTTAAGACGGTGCTGCAACCATCCACTTTTGGTCATGAGGTGGGTGTGGCAGACACATTAAATTGTTCTTTCCATTCCTAATTCTTCTATTAATAACATAAAGATTTGCAATTTGTGCAGTGGAAGTGATCCTGCAAAGTATGCAGACTTGAGCAGACTTGCAAGAAAATTCCTCGATTCTCATTCTGAATCATCTGATATGCGTTGCGAAACTGATACACAACAAAATGCAAAATTGAACAAACTTGCTAGTAGATTCCTACAGAATTCTATGTCTTCTTCCAATTCTATTCAATCTCATGGATACATTGATGAGGTTTTGGGTCATCTTCAAAAGGGTGAAATTGAAGAATGCTCTATATGTTTGGAATCACCAGAAGATCCTGTTTTTACACCATGTGCACATCAGTTTTGTAGAGAATGCCTCTTCAATTGCTGGGGTACCTCAATGGGCGGCAAGTGTCCAATCTGTCGTCAATTACTCAAGAAAAGTGATCTTATTGTACTTCCATCAGAAAGTCCATTCAAGGTTGATATTGAGAACAATTTGACGGAGTCTTCAAAAGTTTCAAAGCTGTTTGAATTCTTAGAACATATTCAGAAATATTCTGATGAAAAAAGTATTGTTTTTAGTCAATGGACTTCATTTTTTGATCTGTTGGAAAATCCATTGAGGAGGAGAGGGATAGGATTCTTAAGATTTGATGGAAAATTGACTCAGAAGCAGAGGGAAAAAGTTCTGAAAGAATTTAACAACACAAAAGAGAAAAGGGTAAGTTAAACCAAAATAGAACTGTTTTATTGTTTTTAATGAACTTTAACGTTTGCTGATCTTTTCACTTTTTCCGGTTGTTCTGTTTTAGGTTTTGTTGATGTCACTCAAAGCTGGTGGTGTAGGCTTAAACTTGACTGCTGCCTCAAATGTTTTCCTTATGGTATGTATAGATTGCCCTTTACCTAATAGGCAACTTGTGGCTGTGATTCGGAACTGTAATTTTCTGAGTTTTTGTAATGAAAATGTAGGATCCATGGTGGAATCCTGCAGTCGAGGAGCAAGCAATAATGAGGATTCATCGCATTGGGCAAAAGCGAAGGGTTACTGTAAGAAGATTCATTGTGAAGGTTAGCTAATTCATTTCCCCATCTTTCCAAGAACTGTTGGCACATGCAATAATCCTAATACACATCTGCACATGCTCAAAACCAAAACACCCATAACACCAACATCTTGATCATTAGTCAATTTCCTGGGTGAAACATGTTGATTTCACATATTTGACTAGATTTCCTATAAGGCATGTTACCGACATCCTAATCATGGGTCAAATGTTCCTGAATTCAACATGTTAATTAAACATAGTTCACATATTTTATTAGTTTTCCTATCAGCAGACATGGATGGGTGGCCCCTTTGATTATTTATGCCTGCTTATCTTGACTTTGCAATTGAGCAGCCAAGTTTTATGCATTTCTCATTATTTTATTTATTAGTAGTATCTTTAACTTGTGAAATTGTGTAAAAAAATGCATTTTTCTGGCTCTGATCACGTTTTCCATAAGCAATCCCCCGCATCCTTTTTTGGGGTCACATGTCCTCAAAAGCCTACCTAGCATGTATTGTTGACTTACACTAATTTTGTTTGTTAGCTAATCGACATAGTCGTTGTTATTGTGAATAGAACACAGTGGAAGATCGTCTGCAACAAGTGCAAGCCAAGAAACAGAAGATGATATCTGGTGCACTCACTGATGATGAGGTTCGGACTTCCAGGATTCATGACCTCAAAATGCTATTCTCATAGGATGATTTATCATGAAGCTGATCTCTTATTTGGTCTTTTTTATTTATTCAAGTTTTATTTAGTCTTAGATCTAGAATGAAGCTCACATTGTATATAGGTAGTAGCTTTCTACCGAATGGGTTCGTTATCTTTTGTGCCTTTTTTATGTTACGATATTGTCCAGACTCTGGGAAAAAACATAGCACGCTGTTTAGTAAATTTGGCGGCACTAACGGTTGAAGTAAAAGTGGGTACTATTGTCTGGTTTTGAAAATGAAGCTGTTCGTTTATGAATGATGATTGTTCTTGAAAATTAAACTTTATTAACGGATCAAATATGTGATCTAGTCCTATTAAAAAGAAACTACAAAAGGCTAACCATCTAAATGAGGTAGAATACATTCTCTTTGTCCATATTAGTATATCCCATCCATTCAAAAAAATAATTAATCCATTTGTGAAAATAAATTGTTACTTTTTTTAGTGACAAATAAATTATTCTAAAATGATTGTTCTTCTCAATTCTTAATATAATAATTTTTAATTAATAGTATGGTAAAAGTTAATAAATTAATACATACATTTTAGTAAAAATATTTTTCTTAAGTGAAAAACATCAAAGTATCGAAAGGAGAGGAGAGATAATGATAAATGAGAGATAATAAGAATCATGTAAAAGATGAGAAGTACATAAATATATAAAAGAAATAATTCACCCGAGGAAGAAGGAAGATATAAGATATATAAAAATATAAATGAAATGCAAGTTTTTAGAAAAATCATATTTTGAAAATAGAAGATCCATAATATAAAATATTTTATACCGTCAATGAATAAATATTGTGTATGATGTCAAATCACTTTTATATTTTAAAATTATTTAAATGATATGATAGATTGTTGATTTATTATAAAGTAAAATTATTTTACACTCTGTCACTTCAGGTCGGTCCTTTTTTTTTGACTAAAGACTTTCCAAAATTTAAATAATTATTAATAACACTAGATTTTTTTTTAGTTGCAAAAAATCTTTATAAAAAAAAATAGATTATTCTAATTGTATATTTTAAGATTTTTTTAGATTAAATAAAAAATTTAATTGAATATCACACGATTTTTTCATCAAAAAAAAGTTTTTTTAATATCACTTGAAATCTTAATTGAATATATAGTTTTTCATTAAATAATCGTATTTTATCTCATGAGTTAGCTCTTTTTCTCTGTTCGGTCTTGATTTTAGTGATAGTTCTTACTCTTGGTTCTAGGGCTATTCATGTTATGGTTTTATAGGGAAATCAAACAAAATCAAACTAAATTATAATTTGAGTTTATTCGAACTGAACCGAACAATTCCAATTTATTTAAAATCGAACTGAAGCAAAATTAATAGTTTGGTATACTGTTTCAAAATTCTGAATTGTACCCAACCGTTAGAAGACAATTTTCCCAAACCGAATTGTTAAACTATTTAAAAATAAATAAATTAAAATGTACTTTTAGTATTTTTCATTTTCAGTTTTGGTTCGGTTTCGGTTCAACTCAGTTTTAATTTTGGTTCGGTTCAGTTCTAGAACTGTTTGTGTAATATGGTTTGTTTCACTAACTAAACATAACAATTTGGTTATTTTAACCTCGGTTCAGTTCGGTTCAATTCATAGTATTTTTGAACAACCCTACTTGGTTCTATAGATTTTTTAAGGTAGTAGGTTGGTGTTTGCCGGCGCTTTAGCAAAATAGTGTTGATAATGTATGTTGAAAGAAAAGAGAGAGAGAAGGAGTTCTCTAGCTTAGGGAAATACATGTTTCCTTTACTTTTACAACTTTTTTAGGGTTTATGGGTTATGGTGGTTCTTTAATAGGTTTGGTAATGTGGTGGAGAATTTTGTTTAGAAGAAGATAGTTAATGATGATAGGAGGTTCATTTTTGTTCGATTATAGATGTGAAGAACATGAAGAAAATGCTTGCATTGTTAGACAAGGTCGATTTTGATCATTGTTCCCTGAAGATAAATATGCCAATATTTGATAAAGGTAGCTCTCTAAGTGGAAGGGTGTCGAAGGGGTTAGGTATGGTTAAACTCACACTTGGATAAGAGTCGTGGCGTCTCTCTCTCTCTCTCTCTCTCTCTCTCTCTCTCTCTCTCTCTCTCTCTCTCTCTCCTCTCTCTCTCTCTCTCTCTCTCTCTCTCTCTCTCTCTCTCTCTCTCTCTCTCTCTCTCTCTCTCTCTCTCTCTCTCTCTCTCTCTCTCTCTCTCTCTCTGAGTGTTTAGAAGGTCGCTTAAAGATCTGATTGATCTAGTTGTTCTTCAAGACTAACTCATGATTCTAGGGTGTCTTAAGTTTTGTTGGTCAAATCTAAGAGGTCACTTTGTTTTTTCTTAAGTAATTGCAACATGGTTTCTCCCTTGATTCATGGCTTCAAGTTTTTTTGTTTGGTATATATTCTCCCACTCCCTGGTTTTAAGTTCATCTAATTCTCATGGTCATATGATTTCTCAAGAGCTTACTTTGTCCATTTGTCTGAAAGGTACTACACTTCCCCGTGCTTCACATTCAATGCAACCACTTTCATTGTCGTTTGGGCTTTCCGATGATCTTAAACTTAAAAAAGCGGCTAAGTTGTTAAAGTTAAAAAATAGTTAGGTTATTTAGGTTGAGTGACAAGGAAATTAATAGGTTAGTGGATTTAGAGAAGAGGGATCAACAACAGAGGTCTACAAGGGGTTATAAGAGTTATTTTTAAGTATTGATAGGTTCCTTTATCGTCAATGGCTTAAAGAGTGTTATTAAGAAGTGAAAGGTTAAGGATGTTTATGTCCATTACCCTATCATCCTTCGATATACTAATCAACTTTTGAGGCATCCAAATTTTTAGGTTCAATAACCATTGGGTTGCATATAATTATCTTTGCGAGTGGTTTAAATTTGTTGAACTAATTCTATTTTCCCTGATTGAAAAGCTTTTGTCATAAAGGAAAAACTTAAATCTCTTAAAGGTGTGGTAAAAGTGGAGCAAATAGATTTTTGGTAAGTTGAACTTTCAAACTGATAATCTTATGGATAAAGTTAGATCCTTGGGTGTTATGGCTGATCAGAGTGCTCTATAGCAAGTCAAGATTACTATGAGGACTCGAGTTATTAAAGAAATTTGTCATTTCTTAGGATTAAATATTCTTAGCTCGCACAAAAGGCCAAGGCTAATGGATTAGGGAAGGTGATTATAATTCTTACCTCTAGAGGAAAATGGATATTTTTGAATACCTTCCTCACCTGAAGCATATTTTTACAGTAGCCCATCTTATGTACAAAAATAAAGGAAAGTTAAAACACTAAGAACATCCAATTCAGAATAATAAAGGAAAAATAGGGGATAATCCTTCACCCCCTTACCAAAGATATTGTACATCTCATATATATAGTGACCACCTCCAATAGTAGACGATTTTCTATGTAACAAATCTTCTATTTCCCTGATGTGATAACTGAAGACTCAACATCATCAATAAAACACATACTTCCCTGTAGCGGTAAAACCAATGAAGTCGCCATCAAGTATTTATTTATCCCATATAAAGGGAAAGGGAAATCATCGAAGAAAAACCTAAAGGGGAAAATCAAGGTCTTGCGACCAAGAGATTGGGTAAGGGAGTCGATTACGCGACGAGAAGGTATTAGCACCCCTCAGGTTCATAGTACTCTATGAGATCCACTATTGTTATTCTAATCAAATGGTGTGTTTAATATAATGCTTAAGAGCTATAAAAACTAAGAGGGAATGCATGTAAAGAAAACACGGAGAAAAGAAGGAAATATTTACAAATTTTTGCTCGACTGAGCCCCGTGACCAAATGCCTACGTATCCCTTTTAAGGAATTAGAGCACCATAGTTCATCTCACATATTTTGTTTGTTTGTATTTTTTAAATGAACAATGCTAAACTCAATAATTCCACCGCTGCTCTACCATTGGAGACTCACGCATTATAGTGGAAAGGAATCAACGCATTCTTAGAAGAGAAAAGCCAAGTGGCAAAAATAAATGGATTGGTTGGTATTTTTTACCATGAAAAGAATTTTTGTATGCTTATCATTTTTTATATATTTTCCAAGAAAAAGAAGTCTTAGTTTTAAATGCAATTATGTAAAAATGGGAAAGAAATAAAATACGGAAAGATAAATTGGAAGAAGTATAATAACAAACGAACCCTAATGTCTGCAAAAAGCACAACCAAAGCAAAGAAACCCGAAATACTTCACACGAGCTGGCGTCAATAAACAAACAATCAGAGATCGAATATTCAGAATATGTGTCGAAGCATCATCGATGTGAAAATAAATCATAATCAGAAACTCAAACATGCCCGCATATCAAACAAGGAACCTGCATAAGACTCAACTCAACAAGCAAAGGAGAATCACAAGTCTCAAGTAATCGAAAAAAAATAGGAATTAATTTCTTAAAATCAAATAAAAAACCTAAAAAAAGTTTTTATTGATTTTGTGGTTTATTATCTAAAAAAAAAGAGGAATTCTTAAATTCTACATATTTTTTATTGTTTTATTATATGTATTTTTATTGTTGACAAAAAAAAATTAAAATGAAATAAAGAAATTAAAACTAAATAAAAAAAATAAGAGAGACAAAGGGGGTGAAGTCAGGATCAAAGGCGTAGAATAATGATTCTTGCGCAGAGCGCCAAGCCTGAATGGTCCAATATAACTTTTTTTATTTCTAAACATTAACAAAGTGTCAAAAAAATAAAAGGATTCATGGGCCAAAGATTTCGCAGCATTAGGTCCAGTTCGACAACCATATAGTCCAAGCCATTAAAAAAAACTATCTTCAGATCCTGTTTTGGACTTGTCTTATTTTATTAAAGAGAAAAAGGGAAAAGAAAATAACAAAGGTAATTAGGGAAACAAATTGTGCCTCTTCAACTTCTTAAAGACTTAAACTCTCTCCATAAAATGCAGCGCCATACTCATACCTCCCTCCGCCGTTCTCCCTTCACTGTGACACTA